CCCCGGATCCCAAGAGAAAGAAACCCCTGAAGGAGGCAGCCAAAGTGGTCCCAGCTTGACCCTGGGAGAGAGTCCTTACCTCAATGGGACTGACGGGCGTGGAAGGCAGGGGTTGCAGGTATTCGGGGTGCAAAATGTGGCCAGTCCGTGCCGTCAGCATCTTCAGCACCTTGATGGGCAGGCGGTTGGCCTGGCGTAGAGGGTCAGAGGGGGGCACGGCGTGCACAAAAGGCTTGGTGCTGCCGGCCGGGGACGAGCCTGGGCCGGGACCGGAGCTATTTCCAGAGATCGCGCTGGTCCAGGCAGGGTCTGCGCCGCCGCCGCCGCCGCCGCCGCCGCTGTGCTTACTGCTTCTTAGGGCAGAAAGCGAGGGCGCTGTGCTCATGACCCACCCGCGCGCATGGGAGCAGCGGGGGGCGGGCTCCGGGAGGCGCGGGGCGGGCTCGGGGCTGCGCGCTCGCCCGGGGAGTTGGAGCCGCAGCGGGAGGAGGAGGAGGAAGAGGAGGAGAAGGAAGAGGAGGAGGAGCTGGCGCGGCGGCCACGGGTGTCCAGCGCGCCTTCTTGGCGCCGGGAGCCAGAAGCGAGTAATCCTGGATGGCCCGCAGTTGGAGCCGTGGCCGGGCCGAAGGAGCCGGATGGACTGCAGGGGTGCCGGGCGGCGGCTCGCGGTGTCCGCCTGGGGCTGCGCCCCTGCGTTGCGCTCCGGCCGCCCCCGAGCCGGCGCTGCGCTCTACGATGTGAGCCTCTGCCTGTCCAGCCGGGGCTCTGGCGAGGAAACTCACTTCAAAAGCAGCTGCACCGAGGGGGAGATTAAAGCCTTTGCCGCCTTCCAATCAAATGGGAGCCCGAGGTGATTGGAGGGTCAAGGGGATGTGACGCGTCCCGCGCCGCCGCCGCCGCCGCCGCCGCCGCCGCCGCCGCCAGGACTCTCAGAGCTGGTTTTAATGGGCCAGATCCCTCTTCGCCGCCGCCCCCCGCAACCCTGACGGGTCCCCTCCCCTCGATTTCGCTCGGTGGACAAGATGGACATTTATTCTACGTTTGCCATCTACCGCCTTCCTCTTTTTTTCCCCCTCTCCTCGTTGTTCCTCTTTCTCCTAGCTTGAAAACTGAAACCTTTGGCGGGTGCGGGGGGGGGGAATGGGGTGGGGAGGGGGTGTGTTCGGGACAGATTTCCGGGGTATCCAGAAGGAAGGGGCGGGAGCGAGGATACCAGCAGGGCTGTCAACTTCAGGGGTTGCCCAAGGGTCGCTCGCATATCAAGTGTTCTTTTCAGTGATTGAGATCCCGCCCTGGCGCGGCCACCGGCGTTAGGGAAAGGTGGAGTGCGGGTATTCGAGGAAGTCCACCCGCACGCACGCCCGCCCGCTCTGATTTCCTGAGATTTCCACGGTGGAGAAACCAGAAGCTAGAAGCTAGGAGGGCCGCGGGTGGCGGCTCGACTCGGCGACGTGTGCCGGGCTCTCCGCCCTTCCTAGCCACGTGACGTTCCGGGATGCGCAGATTGGGGCTCCAGCGGGGGTCACATGTTTCCTCTGTTTCACACTCCTGCCCCCCTCCCATTCTTACTCTCCCCAGCCGCCTTCTCTTTTTCTCTCCCCCTCGTTCTTCGGGCATCTCCACCCCTCCATCAATTGTCAATGTGCCTCGACCGCAATCAATCAGTTATTTGTCAGCTCTTGTCAATCCACCCATGATTTATGTCAGCTTTTGTTGCTGATTACAAGGCGGGTGCGACTTGTAGGGAAAAAGAGAGAGGGAGAGAGAGAGACAGAGGAAGGAACCAGAGAAGGGGGAAAGAGGAGCAGCCTCTTGGGATGGAGAGGGGCACTAAAGAAAAAAAAAAAGAATGAAAAGGGGGTTGGGGAGACGCTCAGCGTCGGGAAAAGGAACCGCGAGAGTGAAGTGCGCAGGTGCGCCCGGGGCGCTGACCGGGGCCCAGGCCTGGCATCCGCGCCTCCTTTCTTGGTACTGGAGAGACAGCTATACCCTCTAAACTGGGAACTTGGTCGGCTGGGACCTCAGGGTTTGGGGCCATCGGGGTACCTCGAGACCGGAGGTGGTGGTGGTGGTGGTGGCTGCGAGGTCTAATGGAGAATTCCCACTTCCTTACAACAATCCCCTTAGGGTCCGGTAGCCAGCAGATGTCAGGAGCCTGCCGTCCTCTTTAGTGCCCCGACCCCCAAGACTTCTTCCTAAGAGCCCCTACCTCTAAGGTAAACTGAGTCCTGATGGGATAACTCCCTTCGAGGCTTTTCTTCTCACCCCACCCCATCACAGGGCTGAAAGGCTGCGGAGAAGAGGCCTGAAGGTGGGTGTGCGGGAGAAACGTTTTCAGGCTCTCCCTCCTCCTCCCTAGCCCTTCACTGCCCTCTGAGCGCTAACCCAAAGCCTGAGGAGTCCGGGTTACTTGGGGCTGCTCGCTCGGATTTTAACCGAGCGCCAAGCTAGGACCAGGCTGCGCCGGGAGAGGAGAGCGAAGGCGCGAGCGAGGGAGGGGCGCCTGCCGGTGGGAACGCGGGTTCTCGTTGGGAAGCGGAGCGGGACTGCCGCGTTCCGCTGGGTCTGCACCGTCACCGGGGCTGTTCCGAGAGGGGAGGCGCTGTGCGTGCGACCGGGTACGGGGTCGGGGCGCACACAGTATATGCCTACGTTTGCGCCGCGGTGTGACTTCCCGGGGACCGGACTGAGGGTCACCTCCAGAAACTGGTAGAAACTAGCTGGGGGAGAGAAGGGGGGTTAGCGGAGGACACACCCCCTCCTTGGAAGGACTTGGAAGACTTTGGATCTCCCCTCCCCCCACTTTTCCGCCCGGCTCTTCTTTTGTTGTCAAGTCTTTTTGATAAATGGTGGGGCTGGAAGCCCGGAGCCCGTCTGTGCCCGCTCTGAGGTGCAGGGAGGGGGGGCAAGCCTTGGAGGCCGGGTTCCTACCCGCACCTGGGAGCTAAACTGCGCGGTGTGTATACGGGTCCGGTTTGGGACCGGTTCTGCGAGTGCTCACTCTTTTCCTCTAACCAGCCCACTCGCCTCCTTTTGGTCTCTCTGTCTCCCCACTCCGCATGGGTACCAAGAACTTTGTGGGGTGAGTTTTAGAATTTTCTCTTAGGCATTATTTTTCTGCGTTTTAATTTTACTCTCTCCTCCCCCTTTTAGGTTTGTAAACTTTATGAGATGGTAATTTGATTAAAGCTATTTTGGACAGCCGAGAAGAGGGGCAAGTGAGGTGGTTGGTGTGTGTTTGGGGCCGCTGTTTGTGTGTGTAAGAATACACCTACATTCAAGAGGGTGTGTAGTGTCTCTGTGCGACACAGAGAAAGGTAAGTCGGTGAGGCAGAGCGTGGTCAGATAACAGGTAAGGTTATGAAGTTTTTCTGAGTGATCTTTGGAGAGTGGGTCCCGGGTGCCAATTTCTGGGGATGGCAATCCTAAATTGTCCCTGCAGGGCAGCGTTTTTGAAGCCGCTTTTATCCTTCGGATGTTGGTGTCTGCTTGTGTCACAGAACGCATGGCTGTCTAGGTGTCCATTTGGACCGGCTGCAGCGCTCCCAGCTTGGCGAGCTGGCCTTTGGGCAGCGTGTCTCTAGGATAGGCCTGGGGTTGGGATCAGAGCTGGGAGGGGGGACGGGGGGCGCGAGGCTGCCGGCTCTGGTATCCTTTCCAACCTTCTAGACAGGTCTTTTGGTGCTGTTCCCTCCCCCCTCCCCCGGTCCTCTAATGGCAGTGGCTTTCTCCTTTGGCCTGGCAGTTCAGGGGATGCCCCCTCCCAAAGGGTCCAAAGCTTGAGGGAGCCAGGGAGTAAGTCCTGCACCTCTAGAAGTGGCTGCACACACTCGCCGGTCTATGCTGTGCTAACTAGGCGCAGGTCCTGGGCTGCACGCGATCGCTACGCTCAAAACCCAACTCCCGAAGGTCCGAGCGCACGGGGGCGCCTGGGGACCTGCGTGCCCCGAGCGTTTGGGAGGTGACAGCGGTCGAGCCTGCGCACCTCAGGCGGGAGGCCAAATCTCCCCCAAGGCCGAGGGGGCTCCGGAGGTGGGGGGGGTTATTAATTACTCCGCACTAGGCCTAATGCTTTCAACCTCCAACAGCGGTCAGTGTGGATGTCCTGCGGATTTTATTTACACACAATGGAAATGATTTGTTTTCTCTTTAAAAAAAGGAGTGGGCACGGCAGACATTCGAGGAGGGGATGGGGGGCAGGAGAAGGAAAGGGGAGAGCGAGAGAGAGAGAGAGCCAAGGAAAAAAGTTTGAAAATGCCTTGAACTATTCACTGTCGAGATGGCTAATCAGTATTGAGGCCGGAGGGCAGGCGGGCCGCCTTTCACCGCCGCTTCCCTTTCATCTTGGGCTCGGTGGAGGCGCTCAATTAAAAGCCTATCAGTTTGTAAGTAAATCAACGCCTATCAGAGTTGTCACATCAAACAAAACGATTATTATTGCAGCCCGCCTCCCCTATTAATCTCCCTCGAAGATAATCCGCCTGACAGGTCAAGCCCGGCGAGCTGGAAAGCCTGGCCCAGAGCACCCAAACAGTCCCGGAGTGGCGCCCGCCCCTAGGGGCCTCCCCATCCTTTATCCGATTCCTCCTTGTTGTCTCCGTGGAGGGGTGAGAGAAAGTGTGGTGAGGCCGCAGGACCCAGGCCCACACGACCCACTGAGAAATAGGGCCCAGACTCCAGGACAGCCTCCTGTGAGGGCTTCGTGGCTTCTCGGGATCTTGCAGGACCCAAGACCTGCCTTGGGGCCTTGGGGCCTTGGGGCCTCCCTATGGCCTATGTCCTTCTTGGCTCCCCTCTTCGAACTCTCCATTTCACTTCTTCACCCTTTCTTCCCTTTATTTCCACTGCAGCATCTTTCTGGATTCTGTAACCCTGTTTTCATTTTCCCTTCCTTTCCCCTTTTCCTACTTGTTCGAAATCATTTCCTATTTTCTCTCCCTCCTCTTGGTATAACCATCCGAACCACTTCATGTGGAGACACACTGTTAGCAGCAGGGCATTCTCTGGGTCCAGGTTGTTGCTGCCGGTGCAGACTAGCCTCAGGAGTGAGTACCCAGGATTTAATGACCAAGTGCTCTTTAACTTCTACCCCCCAAGCAGGGTGCTTAGAAGCACTGTGACAGTGTAAGGGTTAAGTGCCTTTGGGGATAGGAAGGGGGAGATGGAGTTCAAGTCAGTTAGATGAGTGGATAGTGGCAAGCGCCCTGCTCTGGAATTAATATTTGGTCTTGGAATTTCACAGTTTGAATGTTGCCAGCGTCATCATCGGTGTTGCCTAGGCTTTGCAAATATATGGAGGAGACCCAAAAGGCACTGGGATTTCAGCACTTAGTATGTGAAAGGGTGCCTAGTATTTCAAAGTAAATATATCCAGACAACTGCTTCCAAGGCTTTATTTGGTGCCCTGACAGCTGGGTGGAGTCTGGCTTCTGGACTAGAGCAAAAATCATGGCTTCTTCCCGGTGGCCTCTGGCTTGGCGCTTTGGTAAGTGTTAGAAATCAAGTGAGACCCGCCCTTTTCTTTTGAGCTCTTCTTTCAAATGCATAGGCCCAAGGCCAGATGAAGCCAGGATTGAGGAGTAAAGTGTCTGAGAAGAAAGGAGTGCTCTTGGGACCCCAGGTCCTGCCACCTAAAACGCCAGGTTCAGTGTCCACAGCTCTGTCTCCGAACAAACATCTGAGAGAACACCAAAGGTATTGGCTACTGCATTGAACATTCAGGCCTCACCTTGCCGCAGCGACTACTACAGGGTCCCGGAATACCCCATTCTGTGTAGAGTGTACCTCAGCTTGCTACATGCTTGAGATTCTGAGGAGGTGCCCCGGCAGACTCCCACCCAACACCTCTGTTTTTTCTTACATTCTGAGTAAGAGTATTTATTTCCAAACCCACAAATATTGCATTGATGCTCAGTTATCTGCCTGCCTGCTTTTCTTAAATGTCTTTTTCCATGGGTGTCAAGCTGAAGACATTTCAAGAGAAGTAGGCACCGCCACCCCCAACTCCAGCTATAAGAAATAGCCATGGTGTGGTTGCTTGAACATAGGTTCTATGTTGGGCCCAGCATGAGAACTAAATAAGGGCTCTAAAAAGACACTTGCTCTAGAAAATATCCAACCTAATTATATGCATATGCATCTAGAAATTAAAAAAATTATATCCTTGTACAGATCTAGATATTCAGATGTGTTGTTACATGCCCTTGAAGCCAGAGCCGTTCAGTGGTACACACTGGACAATTGAGCTGTTTGTATAATTTCTGTCTTCCTTGCACTTACACACGAATCTCGATATAGTAAATTCAGCCTTGTCATTTTTAGAATAGGCAGGATTTCTCTGGCTGTCGTTTGGGCATTTATCCGAGTAAATCCAACTCGAGTGCATCTAGCAGGAAATGGCTCCTGGCTGGAATATACTTTAGAGTCATCCGCCCATGGGGAGGAGGAACAAGTTGCCTCTGTTCATGGGTGGTGGTGGGTCCAGCCTCCAAATGGGCTAGACAAGCAGCTGGTCCACTTAAGTGGACCAGCTTCCCGCTGCCCAGCGGTGTCCAGCAGCACCCTGTTTCTGCTATCTTCTTATTGAACTTGCTGGCCCGAGTCCGCCCTCAGCGAAAACTGAAAGCAAATTCCGCAGCAGACATAGCCCAGACTTTCTTAGACACAAATATACATCAGATTTCGTGGCCACCAAAATCTGGGAGAACAAATCATTGTAGGGTCAGGCAGGGACCTGAAGGGCATTGGTGGCCTAGTCAGGACTGAGGCAAAACACTAGGGAAGGTACCTTCCTTTTCTTATTTCTCTCCAACTCTTTGGTCCCTGAGCGTAAGCAATTTTCTAACTGCTGCAAACACACCCGGCCTGGGTTTGTACACACCCCACTAGTGGCTAGAGTAGAGGCCGGCTTTGTAACAGTTGTAGAAAGCTTGGGCCAGAAGCGTCCACTCTGTGGGGCTTCATAAAGTTTGGGACCAGTTTGCCTTCCTTGGGGAGGAATGATCAAGGAATCAGGCAGAGCTCTCTGGCTCAATTAATTCTCCGTTCTCACCCCGACTTAGCGATTGAATAACCTCAGGCGGCCAGAGCCGAAAACTTCCCGGCTCAGTGTGGCGATCTGATCCGAGGCCTGGATGCAAAGATGGCCCTCTAGGCCATCCCTGGGCCCGCTGGGCCACAGCCCAACTTGCTTGCTCCTGAGGTGGACCTGTGCGGTTCGCACTACCACTTGGCTGTTCAGGGTCCCAAGGCTGATCCCCAACTCTAGGCAGTGGGCGCCTCTCCAGGAGCTGCGGATTTTTTCGGGGGTGGGGGGGACGCTCAATAAGGCCGCAAAGTACGCGCACGGATTCGCGCAGGGCGACTGGCGGTCTCTCCGCAGGGCCTGTCGCTGGGCCGGCCGAGGCGGGTGAGTGATGAGGGCAGAGAAGGGCGCCCATAAATCGCGGGTGTCAGGGCGAAAAACTCTCTTTATTGTCTGCGTGATGGATGGGCCCGGGGACGAGACACCAAATACTTCGTATCGCCTTTAAATGGGAACACATTTTCCGCGGCCATAATTCATGTTTTTTAAATAGAAAGTTTGAAATGTTGCCTATATTTCACCGGCCCTGACATATTTATGAATCGCTCCCTGCATGCAAATATCATTATTTAAAGCGCCGGGGAGAGCGCGGGGGAGGGGAGGAGGCGCGGCCCCTGGGGCGCGGGGGTGGGTGGTGAACCGGGGAAATATAGGTGGAGGGGGGAGGCCATCTCCCCAAAGGGCAGATGGTTGGGCTCGCGGAAAAGCCGTATCTGGAAGCCGAGCACGCCCTGGGGCTTCTCTTTCCGCCGGTCGGCGCTCGGCCGCCGGGGGAAGTTTGCGCTGTGTTGGAACGAAGGCGCGCGTACGTCTCCTAAGCCGGGACCAGGAGATATTTTGTGTCTCTCTCCAGGGCCCGAATCCAAGCTGAAGCATTTTTTTTCTAAGAAAGAAGTAAGAATTAAAAAAAAAAGAATTTAACAAACGCAATAACAATCCAAAGTGTTTTGTGTTCTTCGCCACTACATCGATTTTTTATTGATTTTCATTCTGCAAAC